TCACGGTGGCTAGGAGATGTTGACTACCTCGCCTGGTACGCAGGAGGTCGTGGGTTCGATCTCTCTCTCATCATCATCACGGTGGCTGGGAGATGTTGACTACCTCGCCTGGTACGCAGGAGGTCGTGGGTTCGATCTCTCTCTCATCATCATCACGGTGGCTGGGAGATGTTGACTACCTCGCCTGGTACGCAGGAGGTCGTGGGTTCGATCCCAACCCAAACGATGTCTGCTGTTGCTGCTGTATATTTGGAGTCTGCGTCTCTCTCTCTCATCATCATCACGGTGTCTGGGAGATGTTGACTACCTCGCCTTGTACACAGGAGGTCGTGGGTTCGATCTCTCTCTCATCATCACGGTGGCTGGGAGATGTTGACTACCTCGCCTGGTACGCAGGAGGTCGTGGGTTCGATCTCTCTCTCTCATCATCATCACGGTGGCTGGGAGATGTTGACTACCTCGCCTGGTACGCAGGAGGTCGTGGGTTCGATCTCTCTCTCATCATCATCACGGTGGCGAGGAGATGTTGACTACCTCGCCTGGTACACAGGAGGTCGTGGGTTCGATCTCTCTCTCATCATCATCACGGTGGCTGGGAGATGTTGACTACCTCGCCTGGTACACAGGAGGTCGTGGGTTCGATCTCTCTCTCATCATCATCACGGTGGCTGGGAGATGTTGACTACCTCGCCTGGTACACAGGAGGTCGTGGGTTCGATCTCTCTCTCATCATCATCACGGTGGCTAGGAGATGTTGACTACCTCGCCTGGTACGCAGGAGGTCGTGGGTTCGATCTCTCTCTCATCATCATCACGGTAGCTGGGAGATGTTGACTACCTCGCCTGGTACACAAGAGGTCGTGGGTTCGATCTCTCTCTCATCATCATCACAGTGGCTAGGAGATGTTGACTACCTCGCCTGGTACACAGGAGGTCGTGGGTTCGATCTCTCTCATCATCATCACGGTGGCTGGGAGATGTTGACTACCTCGCCTGGTATACAGGAGGTCGTGGGTTCGATCTCTCTCTCATCATCATCACAGTGGCTAGGAGATGTTGACTACCTCGCCTGGTACACAGGAGGTCGTGGGTTCGATCTCTCTCTCATCATCATCATCACGGTGGCTAGGAGATGTTGACTACCTCGCCTGGTACACAGGAGGTCGTGGGTTCGATCTCTCTCTCATCATCATCACGGTGGCTGGGAGATGTTGACTACCTCGCCTTGTACACAGGAGGTCGTGGGTTCGATCTCTCTCTCATCATCATCACGGTGGCTGGGAGATGTTGACTACCTCGCCTGGTATACAGGAGGTCGTGGGTTCGATCTCTCTCTCTCATCATCATCACGGTGGCTGGGAGATGTTGACTACCTCGCCTGGTATACAGGAGGTCGTGGGTTCGATCTCTCTCTCATCATCATCACGGTGGCTGGGAGATGTTGACTACCTCGCCTGGTACACAGGAGGTCGTGGGTTCGATCTCTCTCTCATCATCATCACGGTGGCTGGGAAATGTTGACTACCTCGCCTGGTACGCAGGAGGTCGTGGGTTCGATTCCAACCCCTGACGATGTCTGCTGCTGCTGTATATTTGGAGTCTGCGTCTCTCTCTCTCATCATCATTACGGTGGCTAGGAGATGTTGACTACCTCGCCTGGTACACAGGAGGTCGTGGGTTCGATCTCCCTCTCATCATCATCACGGTGGCAAGGAAATGTTGACTACCTCGCCTGGTACGCAGGAGGTCGTGGGTTCGATCTCTCTCTCATCATCATCACGGTGGCTGGGAGATGTTGACTACCTCGCCTGGTACGCAGGAGGTCGTGGGTTCGATCCCAACCCTGACGATGCCTGCTGCTCTAGATTTGGGGTCTGCGTCTTTCTCTCTCTCTCTGTCATCATCACGGTGGCTGGGAGATGTTGACTACCTCGCCTGGTACACAGGAGGTCGTGGGTTCAATCCCAACCCTGACGACGCCTGCTGCTGTATATTTGGAGTCTGCGTTTCTCTCATCATCATCATCACGGTGGCTAGGATATGTTAACTACCTCGTCGCAGATGTCCGCATCTCTTTGCGCGTGTCGCCATCCACCGCGTGTGGCCGACTGTCTAAAATGAAATCTGAGCACCTCTTTAATTACGATCATCGATTTACCTCTTTATTGATTTTATAATTTTTTTAAACAAACAAACAAACAAAACCCACCCCCCACACACGTCGTTCATGAACAAAAATAAAACAAAACTGATTATAAATTATAATATAATTATAATAATAAAAAGAGGCCCTTTCATTGGCGAAGATATGTTGGAGCCGGCGAAACGCGACGGCGAGAAAAAAAAAACCAACTATACAGATCCGCAGTTTACATAAATAATCTTATTTGTCTGCTGATTATGTTAGTTCGTCGCTGGTTAATTTAATAGAGCTGCCTCAGACATTAACACCAAACCCTATGTGAGCCTTAGTCTGCCTCTACGAATCCACTCGGCACTGAACCCTAAAAATCCTCGTGTTCTTCATCGGGTATTAACACAAGAATATGATGAAGCTAAGGGGAGCCTTAGTCTGGCTCTGAGTCACTAACACAGAACCCTAAGACATCTAAAGTGTAATTAGTCTGGCTCTCTGATCTTCAGGCATTAATACAAGACCATAATTAACTTAAGAGCACCTTAGTCTGGCTCTGAGTCACTAACACTTAACCCTAAGACATCTAAAGTGTAATTAGTCTGGCTCTATGATCTTCAGGCATTAACACAAGACCATAATTAACTTAAGAGCACCTTAGTCTGGCTCTGAGTCACTAACACTCAACCCTAAGACATCTAAAGTGTCATTAGTCTGGCTCTCTGATCTTCAGGCATTAACACAAGACCGCAATTAACTTAAGCGAGCCTTAGTCTGGCTCTATGAGTCACTAACACAGAACCCTAAGACATCTTAAAGTGTCATTTTTCTGGCTCTCCTATCCTCAGGCATTAATACAAGACCGTAATTAACTTAAGAGAGCCTTAGTCTGGCTCTGAGTCACTAACACAGAACCCTAAGACATCTAAAGTGTAATTCGTCTGGCTCTCTGATCTTCAGGCATTAATACAATACCGTAAGTAACTTAAGATAGCCTTAGTCTGGCTCTATGAATCACTAACACTCAACCCTAAGACATCTAAAGTGTCATTAGTCTGGCTCTCTGATCCTCAGGCATTAATACAAGATCATGAGTAACTTAAGCGAGCCTTAGTCTGGCTCTATGACTCACTAACACAGAACCCTTAGACATCTTGAAGTGTCATTAGTCTGGCTCTCTGATCTTCAGGCTTTAACACAAGACCGAAAGTAACTTAAGAGAGCCTTAGTCTGGCTCTATGAGACACTAACACAGAACCCTAAGACATCTAAAAGTGTCATTCGTCTGGATCTCCTATCCTCAGGAATTAATACAAGACCGTAATTAACTTAAGAGAGCCTTAGTCTGGCTCTATGAGTCACTAACACTCAACCCTAAGACATCTTAAAGTGTCATTTGTCTGGCTCTCTTATCCTCAGGCATTAACACAAGACCATGATGAAGCTAAGGGAGCCTTTGTCTGGCTCTATGAGTCACTAACACTCAATCCTAAGACATCTAAAGTGTCATTAGTCTGGCTCTCTTATCCTCAGGCATTAATACAAGACCGTAATTAACTTAAGAGCGCCTTAGTCTGGCTCTATGACTCACTAACACTCAACCCTAAGACATCTAAAGCGTAATTAGTCTGGCTCTCTGATCTTCAGGCTTTAACACAAGACCACAAGGGACCTTAGACAGCCTTAGTCTGGCTCTGTGAGTCTTGCTCATGAACGCTGAACCTTACAACATCTAAAGTATCTTAGTCTGGCTCCACGAACCTCGGGCTTTAATACGATACCATAAGGAACCTTCAAGGGCCTTAGTCTGGCTCTCTGAGTCTTGCTCACGAACTCTGAATCCGACGAAATCTAAAATCTCCTTAGTCTGGCTCCGTGAGTCTAGCTCGTGAACCCTGAACCCTACAAAATCTAAAGTCTTCTTAGTCAGGCTCCACGAGACTCGGACTTTAAGATAAAACCATAAAAAACCTTAGAGAGCCTTCGTCTGGCTCCGTGAGTCTTGCTCACGAACGCTGATCCCTCCGAAATATGAAGTCCCCTTTGTCAGCCTCCATGAGCCTCGGGCTTTAACACAAGACCATACGGACATTTTGAGAGCCTTAGTCTGGCTCCGTGAGTCTTGCTCACGAACGCTGAACGCTACAAAATCTAAAGTCTCCTTAGTTTTGGCTTTGCGAGCCTCGGACTTTAACACTGAACGCTTAAAAAGAGTCCTGAGAAACCCTGCCCTGACGCACCGTGTCTCTCACGTGCATTCGCTACACCACAGAGGCTCTCCAGCTGAAACGGGCCACGGACAACAGCGGCGCCAACGCCTCAGCATGCGTCTTTTCCGAGCGAATAGTCCCGCGGGTTTAAAACCGTCGCTCAACAAACACTCGCTTGAAATATCGGTGGGAGGCAGGGGGCGGCGGTCAGGTTACGGCAGAGGTCGCAACCGGGTACCCGATACCCGTATCCTACCCGATACCCGGCTACCGGTTACCGTTTGCGACCCTGGTGCGGCCAGGTACGGGTACGGGTAGACCGTGAGTCACTGGTGAGTCACCGTTTGTCACTCATTTCCCAACGTCTTGTCTCTTCTCACAATTCAAGTTCCTAGAATAAACCCACCCGCGCCTGCAACGTGGCTTCATCCCAGAGGTCGCAATCGGGTACCCGTACCCGTACCCTACCCGTACCCGGTCGGGTACGGGTAGGGTACGGGTACGGCCGGGTATGGGTACGGGTACCCGTTTGCGACCCTGGTGCGGCCACGTACGGTTACAGGTAGACCGTGAGTCACTGGTGAGTCACCGTTTGTCACTCATTTCCCAACGTCTTGTCTCTTCTCACAATTCAAGTTCCTAGAATCAACCCACCTGCGCCTGCAACATGGCTTCATCCCAGAGGTCGCAATCGGGTACCCGATACCTGTACCCTACCCGTACCCGGCCGGGTACAGGTAGGGTACGGGTACGGCCGGGTATGGGTACGGGTACCTGTTTGCGACCCTGGTGCGGCCAGGTACGGGTACGGGTAAGGAATCAAAACCCGTTTGCGACCTCTGGGGTACGGCGGCGTACCGCGTCGCGCGCAATCGACGGAGGCCACGCGATCGCCGGGGAAGGGTGGCACCGGCGATCCGTAGATCGGGCCTGGTGCATCGTGGCCAACCATATCCGTCGGCGTGGGGGCGGCCGTTCGATTTGGGGCGAGCGGCGACGTCGGCGAGAGGGCGGCCATTTTGTAGCGAGTGGCCAGCGACATCAATAGGAGGGCGGCCATTTTGTTGCCGGTGATCAGAGACGTCAATAGGAGGGCGGCCATTTTGTTGCGGGTGATCAGAGACGTCAATAGGAGGGCGGCCATTTTGTTGCCGGTGATCAGCGACGTCAATAGGAGGGCGGCCATTTTGTTGCGGGTGATCAGAGACGTCAATAGGAGGGCGGCCATTTTGTTGCGGGTGATCAGCGACGTCAATAGGAAGGCGGCCATTTTGTTGCGGGTGATCAGCGACGTCAATAGGAGGGCGGCCATTTTGTTGCGGGTGATCAGCGACGTCAATAGGAGGGCGGCCATTTTGTTGCGGGTGATCAGAGACGCCAATAGGAGGGCGGCCATTTTGTTGCCGGTGATCAGCGACGTCAATAGGAGGGCGGCCATTTTGTTGCGGGTGATCAGCGACGTCAATAGGAGGGCGGCCATTTTGTTGCGGGTGATCAGAGACGCCAATAGGAGGGCGGCCATTTTGTTGCCGGTGATCAGCGACGTCAATAGGAGGGCGGCCATTTTGTTGCGGGTGATCAGAGACGTCAATAGGAGGGCGGCCATTTTGTTGCGGGTGATCAGCGACGTCAATAGGAGGGCGGCCATTTTGTTGCAGGTGATCAGTGACGTCAATGGGAGGGCGGCCATTTTGTTGCAGGTGATCAGCGACGTCAATGAGAGGGCGGCCATTTTGTTGCGGGTGATCAGAGACGTCAATGGGAGGGCGGCCATTTTGTTGCCGGTGATCAGCGACGTCAATGGGAGGGCGGCCATTTTGTTGCGGGTGATCAGCGACGTCAATAGGAGGGCGGCCATTTTGTTGCGGGTGATCAGCGACGTCAATAGGAGGGCGTTCGATTTGCTCGAGGGGGTGAGCGGCGGCGGATCCGTCGTCGTCGGCGGGAGGGTGGTTGCCTTCTTGCGTGGGCGTGATGGGGTCGACGGGACGGCGGCCATTTCATTGCGAGCTTGTCGTCGCGACATCGGTTGGCGGAGGGCGGCCATCGCCGCGGGATCCCGTGGGCCCAGGCCCGGTGCATCTGCTCCCTCTTCCAGGCCAGCCGCGCGTGGCCTGGCCTTGCGCGGCGTCTGTGCGTTGGGACGGTCGGCTAAGGCCTGTAGCCGGGGGGTCGGGCAGGCTGCGGGGCCCTTGCGGCGCAGTTGCGGGGGCTGCGCTGATCCTACGGCAAGGCCCCCCGCGATGGAGTCGTCCTCCCAGTTGCTAGTGTCGCCGTCGGCTTCTGCCTGAGAGAACGGGGAAGAGACGAGGTTGAGCACCCCCACTGCGCTGGCAAAAGCCTTGGCTAGGATGAGGCCCAGCCTTGAAGGCCCAAAACACACGGCCAAGGCAACAAAGGAGTGGCTCAAGAAGAAGCACATTAAGGTCCTGGAGTGGCCTAGCCAGTCTTCAGACCTTAATCCCATAGAAAATCTGTGGAGGGAGCTGAAGGTTCGAGTTGCCAAACGTCAGCCTCGAAACCTTAATGACTTGGAGAAGATCTGCAAAGAGGAGTGGGACAAAATCCCTCCTGAGATGTGTGCAAACCTGGTGGCCAACTACAAGAAACGTCTGACCTCTGTGATTGCCAACAAGGGTTTTGCCACCAAGTACTAAGTCATGTTTTGCAGTGGGGGTCAAATACTTATTTCCCTCATTAAAATGCAAATCAATTTAAAACATTTTGACATGCGTTTTTCTGGATTTTGTTGTTGTTATTTTGTCTCTCACTGTTCAAATAAACCTACCATTAAAATTATAGACTGAGCATTTCTTTGTCAGTGGGCAAACGTACAAAATCAGCAGGGGATCAAATACTTTTCCCCCTCACTGTATACACCTGCTACCTCTCTCTCTCTACACCAGCTCAAGCCTCCCGTAACACCGCGTCACTTGGGTGTGTGACTAGCCCAACTGTGAATCCCTTCCCACTAATCTATAGATCTTCGTCACTCTAAACCAGCTGAAGCTCCTCCCCCCCCCCATACACCGCCTGACTTATGTGAGGCCACCGCCACTCTGAATTCCCACCCCGTCACTCCCCGTGAAACCAGACGCCGCTCCTCTGTGGAGCTCACTTCGCCACACTCAAATTTCGATTTAAAGCTTTCTCGTGACTGCAGGGATTCTCCTTACTGGTTCTTTCGGTAAAGTCATCACGTAGAAGGGAAATAGTAAAATAATAAAACAATAAAATTCTCACGACGTTTCGATTGCAACACAAGCAATCATCATCAGGTGTGAGAACCACAGCACCTGATGATGATGATCGCTTGTTTTGCAATCGAAACGTCGTGAGAATTTTATTGTTTAATTTTTTGTTATTTTACTATTTCCCTTCTACGCGACTTTACCGAAAGAACCAAGAAATATAAACTATTTTCTCCCGACTAAACCACTCTTACATTTCGATTTAAAGCTTTCGTGACTGCAGGGATTCATCTTCTTGGTTCTTTTGGTAAAGTCATCACGTAGAAGGGAAATAATAAAATAATAAACATAAAACATATTTTTTATTATGTTTTATTTTTATTATTTTATAATTTCCCCTCGCCACACTCCTTCCCTCTGCTCCCCACCTCTCATCTTTATCCCTTACTTGAACTAAAGTATAACACTAAACGTTATTTTTTTCTTTTGCATATGTAATGTAGGTGGTGGAAGCGACTTCTGGAATCCGGTCTTTATTTGTCTTTCGTTCACAAAACTCCCATCTTACTCCTTCACGCTGCTGACAGACAGCGTGAGAGGAATAGAGAGAGAGAGACACGCACGGCCACGTGGCAGCCTGGACCACGTGTCAGCCTGGACCACGTGGCCAGCCTGGACCACGTGGGCAGCCTGGACCACGTGGGCAGCCTGGACCACGTGGCAGCCTGGACCACGTGGCAGCCTGGACCACGTGGCAGTCTCTGGACCACGTGGGCAGCCTGGACCACGTGGTACAGCCTGGACCACGTGGCAGTCTGGACCACGTGGGCAGCCTGGACCACGTGGTACAGCCTGGACCACGTGGCAGTCTGGACCACGTGGGCAGCCTGGACCACGTGGCAGCCTGGACCACGTGGTACAGCCTGGACCACGTGGCAGTCTGGACCACGTGGCAGCCTGGGCCACGTGGGCAGCCTGGACCCCGATCCAGCCTGGCTTCACCCTCCGTTCGTTCCAGTTCTGACCACGTGTTGCTCGTCTCCACCCCTTTTAATACCCGGGTCACGTGGTACCTTTCCACCAATCCTGGTTAGCCTCCATGGAATCTTCCAGACTCCATCGTACGCTCCCGGGACCGCGCCCCTGACTCGTCTTCCCATTGGCTGTGGCCAAAGCCAGCAGAACCAATCCTCTACTTACAGCTGTCACCTTTCCGTTACGTCAGGGCCACGCCCCTAGACTTCCCCCCATTGGCTGTGGGCCAGGACCGGTAGAACCAATCATCTACTTACAGCTGTCACCTTCCCATGACGTCAGGGCCACGCCCCTAGACTTCCCCCCATTGGCTGTGGGCCAGGACCGGTAGAACCAATCATCTTAACGAGGTGTGATCCATCAGTAACCCGGATATATCCTCACATTATACAGGGAGGAACAATGTTCCACACTGCCCACCAGGGATTTATTGTCTGTCTGTCTGTCTGACTGTCTGTCTGTCGTGCATAAATAAATATATAATACACACAGCTCTTTGATTGGTGGAGACCTACTGCCGGGTACGGAGAGGGGAGGTGCCTAAGGGAGGAGGGTCAGGGGAGGGGCCTAAGGGAGGGGGGGGGGGGTCAGGGGAGGGGCCTGAGGGAGGGGGGTTCAGGGGAGGGGCCTGAGGGAGGGGGGGGTCAGGGGAGGGGCCTGAGGGAGGGGGGGGGGGGTCAGGGGAGGGGCCTAAGAGAGGGGGGGTCAGGGGAGGGGCCTGAAGGAGGGGGGGGGGGGGGGGTCAGGGGAGGGGCCTGAGGGAGGGGGGGGGTCAGGGGAGGGGCCTAAGAGAGGGGGGGTCAGGGGAGGGGCCTAAGGGAGGGGGGTCAGGGGAGGGGCCTAAGGAAGGGGGGGTTGGTCAGGGGAGGGGCCTAAGGAAGGGGGGTTGGTCAGGGGAGGGGCCTAAGGAAGGGGGGTTGGTCAGGGGAGGGGCCTAAGGGAGGGGGGTCAGGGGAGGGGCCTAAGGAAGGGGGGTTGGTCAGGGGAGGGGCCTAAGGAAGGGGGGTTAGTCAGGGGAGGGTCCTAAGGAAGGGGGGTTGGTCAGGGGAGGGGCCTAAGGAAGGGGGGTTAGTCAGGGGAGGGGCCTAAGGAAGGGGGGGTTGGTCAGGGGAGGGGCCTAAGGAAGGGGGGTTAGTCAGGGGAGGGGCCTAAGGAAGGGGGGTTGGTCAGGGGAGGGGCCTAAGGGAGGGGGGTAATGGGAGGGGCCTAAGGAAGGGGGGTTGGTCAGGGGAGGGGCCTAAGGGAGGAGGAACAGGGGAGGGGCCTAAGGAAGGGGGGAGTCATGAGAGGAGCCTGAGGGGGGGGGATCAGAAGAGGGGCCTAAGGGAGGGGGGGTCAGGGGAGGAGCCTAAGGATATGGGGGGTGGTCAGGGGAGGGGCCTAAGGGGGGAGGGGCCTAAGTGAGGGGGGGTAAGGGGAGGGGCCTAAGGGAGGGGGGGGGCAATAGTGAAGGGGGCTGTCTGCCTGGCTACCTCAAGTCACGTGATCTTGTACACAGGTAGCAGCAACAACAGGTTCCACACTGCTGCCCACCAGTGATTATTTGTCTGTCTGTCGGGCACGAATGCGCTGTCCAACCAAATTCCTACCTACATATAAGGCTCACTGAGCTAAACAGCTATTTTTCAGAAGCGACCTGGCAAACACAAATGACCGCTCAACGACATTGGCTTATCGTCACGTGGACATTCGCAACAGCAGCCGAACGCTCTAAATGCATATTTCTAATTGTGGAGGGAAGAAAACGGGAGGACCCGGAAAAAATTCCACGTGACCACAGGGGAGAGAGAGACGCGCAAACTCCAGGGTCGGGATCGAACCCACGACCTCCTGTATGATAATTGTTTTTTTTTACCCTTCTATCTGGCAACAAACCTGACACCTTTTTTTACAAGGAGTCATGTTTGCATAGACCACAATACCTGCAGCCGTAATGCAAACAAAAAACATAACTCTGATAATATATGCACTGTCCTTGAAGTTGATTGGTCGTGAGTGTGTGTGAGTGAGTGTGTGAGTGAACAGGTGTGTGAGTGTGCGAGCGGGTCAGTGAGTGTGCGAGCGGGTGTGTGAGTGTGCGAGCGGGTGAGTGAGTGTGTGAGTGAGCAGGTGTGTGAGTGTGCGAGCGGGTGAGTGAGTGTGCTAGCGGGTGTGTGAGTGTGCGAGCGGGTCAGTGAGTGTGCGAGCGGGTGTGTGAGTGTGCGAGCGGGTGTGTGAGTGTGCGAGCGGGTGTGTGAGTGTGCGAGCGGGTGTGTGAGTGTGCGAGCGGGTGTGTGAGTGTGCGAGCGGGTGAGTGAGTGTGTGAGTGAGCAGGTGTGTGAGTGTGCGAGCGGGTGTGCGAGTGTGCGAGCGGGTGAGTGAGTGTGTGAGTGAGCAGGTGTGTGAGTGTGCGAGCGGGTGTGTGAGTGTGCGAGCGGGTGAGTGAGTGTGCGAGCGGGTGAGTGAGCGAGCGGGTGAGTGAGTGTGTGAGTGAGCAGGTGTGGTGAGTGTGCGAGCGGGTGTGCGAGTGTGCGAGCGGGTGAGTGAGTGTGTGAGTGAGCAGGTGTGTGAGTGTGCGAGCGGGTGAGTGAGTGTGCGAGCGGGTGAGTGAGCGAGCGGGTGAGTGAGTGTGCGAGCGGGTGAGTGAGTGAGCGAGCGGGTGAGTGAGTGTGCGAGCGGGTGAGTGAGTGTGCGAGCGGGTGTGTGAGTGTAGCGAGCGGGTGAGTGAGTGAGCGAGCGGGTGAGTGAGTGAGCGAGCGGGTGAGTGAGTGTGCGAGCGGGTCAGTGAGTGTGCGAGCGGGTGTGTGAGTGTGCGAGCGGGTGAGTGAGTGTGCGAGCGGGTCAGTGAGTGTGCGAGCGGGTGTGTGAGTGTGCGAGCGGGTGAGTGAGTGTGCGAGCGGGTCAGTGAGTGTGCGAGCGGGTCAGTGAGTGTGCGAGCGGGTGTGTGAGTGTGCGAGCGGGTGAGTGAGTGTGCGAGCGGGCGTGCGAGTGTGCGAGCGGGCGAGTGAGTGTGCGAGCGGGCGTGCGAGTGTGCGAGCGGGCGAGCGAGTGTGCGAGCGGGCGTGCGAGTGTGCGAGCGGGCGAGCGAGTGTGCGAGCGGGCGTGCGAGTGTGCGAGCGGGCGAGCGAGTGTGCGAGCGGGTGAGTGAGTGTGCGAGCGGGTGAGCGGGCGATCGAGCGTGCGAGCGGGTGAGCGAGCGTGCGAGTGAGCGGGTGAGTGAGTGTGTGAGCGGGTGAGTGAGTGTGTGAGCGGGTTAGTGAGTGTGTGAGTGCATGAGTGAGCGTGTGAGCAGGTGAGTGAGCGGGTGAGTGTATGAGCGGGTGAGTGAGTGAGCGGGTGAGTGAGTGAGCAGGTGAGTGAGTGTGTGAGTGAGTGTGTGAGTGTGTGAGCAGGTTAGTGAGTGTGTGAGTGCATGAGCGAGTATATGAGCGTGTGAGTGAGCGGGTGAGTGAGTGAGTGATCGGGTGAGCGGGTGAGTGAGTGAGTGAGTGTGTGAGCGGGTGAGTGAGTGAGTGAGCGGGTGAGTGAGTGAGTGATTGGGTGAGCGGGTGAGTGAGCGTGTGTGTGAGTGTGTGAGTGCATGAGTGAGTGTATGAGCGTGTGAGTGAGTGTGTGAGTGAGTGTGTGAGCGGGTGAGTGAGTGAGTGTGTGAGCGGGTGAGTGGGTGAGTGTGTGAGCGGGTGAGTGAGTGAGCGAGTGTATGAGCGACTGAGTGAGCGTGTGTGTGTGAGTGTGTGAGTGAGTGAGCGTGTGAGCAGGTGAGTGAACGGGTGAGTGTATGAGCGGGTGAGTGAGTGTGTGAGCGTGTGAGTGAGTGAGCGGGTGAGTGAGCGTGTGTGTGAGTGTGTGAGTGAGTGAGCGTGTGAGCGGGTGAGTGAGTGAGTGAGTGTGTGAGTTAGTGTGTGAGTGAGTGAGCAGGTGAGTGAGTGTGTGAGTGCATGAGCGAGTATATGAGCGTGTGAGTGAGCGGGTGAGTGAGTGAGTGAGCGGGTGAGTGAGTGTGTGAGCGGGTGAGTGAGTGTGTGAGCGGGTGAGTGAGTGTGTGAGTGTGTGAGCAGGTGAGTGAACGGGTGAGTGTATGAGCGGGTGAGTGAGTGTGTGAGCGTGTGAGTGAGTGAGCGGGTGAGTGAGCGTGTGTGTGAGTGTGTGAGTGAGTGAGCGTGTGAGCGGGTGAGTGAGTGAGTGTGTGAGTTAGTGTGTGAGTGAGTGAGCAGGTGAGTGAGTGTGTGAGTGCATGAGCGAGTATATGAGCGTGTGAGTGAGCGGGTGAGTGAGTGTGTGAGTGGGTGAGTGAGTGTATGAGCGGGTGAATGAGTGTGTGAGTTAGTGTGTGAGCGTGCGAGCGGGTGAGCGAGCGTGCGAGTGAGCGGGTGAGTGAGCATGTGAGCGGGTGAGTGAGCGGGTGAGTAGTGGGTGGGTGTGTGAGTGTGTGAGTGAGTGAGCGTTGAGTGAGTGTGTGAGTGTGTGAGTGTGTGAGCGGGTGAGTGAGTGAGTGTGTGAGCGGGTGAGTGAGTGTGTGAGCGGGTGAGTGAGTGTGTGAGCGTGTGAGTGAGTGTGTGAGCGGGTGAGTGAGTGAGTGGGTGAGTGAGTGTGTGAGTGTGTGAGTGAGTGAGTGTGTGAGCGGGTGAGTGAGTGAGTGAGTGTGTGAGTGAGTGAGTGTGTGAGTGAGCGGGTGAGTGTGTGAGCAGGTGAGTGAGTGTGTGAGTGCATGAGCGAGTATATGAGCGTGTGAGTGAGCGGGTGAATGAGTGTATGAGCGGGTGAGTGAGTGAGTGTGTGAGCGTGTGAGTGAGTGTGTGAGCGGGTGAGTGAGCGTGCGAGTGAGCGGGTGAGTGAGTGTATCAGCGGGTGAGTGAGGGAGTGAGTGTGTGAGTGAGTGTGTGAGCGTGTGAGTGAGTGAGTGGGTGAGTGAGTGTGTGAGTGTGTGAGTGAGTGAGTGAGCGGGCGAGTGAGTGTGTGAGTGTGTGAGTGAGTGAGTGAGCGGGTGAGTGTGTGTGTGAGTGTGTGAGCTTGAGTGAGTGAGCGGGCGAGTGAGTGTGTGAGTGAGTGTGTGAGCGGGTGAGTGAGTGAGTGTGTGAGTGAGTGTGTGAGTGAGTCTGTGAGCGGGTGAGTGAGCGTGCGAGTGAGCGGGTGAGTGAGTGTGTGAGCAGGTGAGTGAGCGGGTGAGTGAGTGAGCGGGTGAGTGAGTGAGTGAGCGGGTGAGTGAGCGGGTGAGTGAGTGAGCGAGTGTGTGAGTGAGTGACTGTGTGAGTGTGTGTGAGCGTGTGAGTGAGTGTGTGAGCGGGTGAGTGAGCGAGTGAGCGGGTGTGTGAGTGAGTGAGCGTGTGAGCGGGTGAGTGAGTGAGTGAGTGGGTGAGTGAGCGAGTGAGTGAGTGAGTGACTGTGTGAGTGTGTGTGAGTGGGTGAGTGAGTGGGTGAGTGAGCGAGTGAGTGAGTGTGTGAGTGTGTGAGTGTGTGAGTGAGTGAGTGTGGTGAGTGAGTGAGTGAGTGTGTGAGTGAGCAGGTGAGTGAGTGTGCGAGCGTGTGAGTGTGTGAGTGTGTGAGTGTGTGAGTGAGTGAGTGTGTGAGTGAGTGAGTGTGTGAGTGGGTGAGTGGGTGAGTGAGTGTGTGAGCGAGTGAGTGAGTGAGCGGGTGAGTGAGTGTGTGAGTGAGTGAGTGAGCGGGTGAGTGAGTGTGTGAGCGGGTGAGTGAGTGTGTGAGTGAGTGAGTGAGCGGGTGAGTGAGTGTGTGAGCGGGTGAGTAAGTGAGCGGGTGAGCGGGTGAGTGAGTGAGTGAATGCATGAGCGAGTGTATGAGCGTGTGAGTGAGCGGGTGAGTGAGTGAGTTAGTGAGTGAGTGTGTCAGGAGGTGTGTGAGTGTGTGAGTGAGTGAGCGTGTGAGCAGGTGAGTGAGCGGGTGAGTGAGTGTGTGAGTGAGTGTATCAGCAGGTGAGTAAGTGTGTGAGCGTGTGAGTGAGTGAGTGTGCGAGCGGGTGAGTGCATGAGCAGGTGAGTGAGTGAGTGATCAAGTCACCCGCGAAGCAGAGGTTGTTCTTGCAGCGGCCACCGTAGCTTGGAGGGCACTGGGAGCAGGGCCGACCTCGGCGGTATGGAACTTGACCCATCCAGTTCCCTCTGCAAGCACACACGGCCATATAGGTGAGTGTAGGGCTCTATGGGTTTGTGTAGGAGTCTGTGAGAGTGTGGGACCCTATGAGTGTGTGTAGGTGTCTGTGAGAGTGTGGGACCCTATGTGTGTGTGTGTAGGTGTCTATGGGTGTGTGTAGGTGTCTATGGGTGTGTGTAGGTGTCTATGAGAGTGTGGGGGGTCTATGGGTGTGTGTAGGTGTCTATGGGTGTGTGTAGGTGTCTATGGGTGTGTGTAGGTGTCTATGGGTGTGTGTAGGTGTCTAAGGGTGTGTGTAGGTGTCTATGAGAGTGTGGGGGGTCTATGGGTGTGTATAGGTGTCTATGGGTGTGTAGGTGTCTATGGGTGTGTGTAGGTGTCTATGGGTGTGTGTAGGGCTCTATGGGTTTGTGTAGGTTTCTATGAGAGAGTGGGACCCTATGGGCGTGTAGGTGTCTATGAGAGAGTGGGACCCTATGAGTGTGTAGGTGTCTCTATGAGAGAGTGGGACCCTATGAGTGTGTAGGTGTCTATATGAGAGTGTGGGACCCTATGGGTGTGTGTAGGTGTCTATGGGTGTGTGTAGGTGTCTATGAGAGTGTGTAGGTGTCTATGGGTGTGTGTAGGTGTCTATGGGTGTGTGTAGGTGTCTATGGGTGTGTGTAGGTGTCTAAGGGTGTGTGTAGGTGTCTATGAGGGTGTGGGGGGTCTATGGGTGTGTGTAGGTGTCTATGGGTGTGTGTAAGGGTCTGTGAGAGAGTAGGTGTCTATGATAGTGTGGGACCCTATGGGTGTGTGTAGGTGTCTATGGGTGTGTGTAGGTGTCTATGGGTGTGTGTAGGTGTCTTTGAGAGTGTAGGGGGTCTATGGGTGTGTATAGGTGTCTATGGGTGTGTAGGTGTCTATGGGTGTGTGTAGGTGTCTATGGGTGTGTGTAGGGCTCTATGGGTTTGTGTAGGTGTCTATGAGAGTGTGGGACCCTATGGGTGTGTGTAGGACTCAACACTTCTCTATGAAGGTTAATACGTCTCTATAAACATTAACACTTGTATATGAATATTGACACTTCACTATCAACATCATTGACACTTCACTATCAACAACATTGACACTTCACTATCAACATCATTGACACTTCACTATCAACATCATTGACACTTCACTATCAACATCATTGACACTTCACTATCAACAACATTGACACTTCACTATCAACATCATTGACACTTCACTATCAACATCATTGACACTTCACTATCAACATCATTGACACTTCACTATCAACATCATTGACACTTCACTATCAACATCATTGACACTTCACTATCAACATCATTGACACTTCACTATCAACATCATTGACACTTCACTATCAACAACATTGACACTTCACTATCACATCATTGACACTTCACTATCAACATCATTGACACTTCACTATCAACATCATTGACACTTCACTATCAACATCAATGACACTTCACTATCAACATCATTGACACTTCACTATCAACAACATTGACACTTCACTATCAACATCATTGACACTTCACTATCAACAACATTGACACTTCACTATCAACATCATTGACACTTCACTATCAACATCATTGACACTTCACTATCAACATCATTGACACTTCACTATCAACATCAATGACACTTCACTATCAACATCAATGACACTTCACTATCAACATCAATGACACTTCACTATCAACAACATTGACACTTCACTATCAACATCATTGACACTTCACTATCAACATCATTGACACTTCACTATCAACATCATTGACACTTCACTATCAACATCATTGACACTTCACTATCAACAACATTGACACTTCACTATCAACAACATTGACACTTCACTATCAACATCATTGACACTTCACTATCACAACATTGACACTTCACTATCAACATCATTGACACTTCACTATCAACAACATTGACACTTCACTATCAACAACATTGACACTTCACTATCAACATCATTGACACTTCTCTATCAACATCATTGACACTTCACTATCAACATCATTGACACTTCTCTATCAACATCATTGACACTTCACTATCAACATCATTGACACTTCACTATCAACATCATTGACACTTCTCTATCAACATCATTGACACTTCACTATCAACATCATTGACACTTCACTATCAACATCATTGACACTTCACTATCAACATCATTGACACTTCTCTATCAACAACATTAACACTTCACTATCAACATCATTGACACTTCACTATCAACAACATTGACACTTCACTATCAACATCATTGACACTTCACTATCACAACATTGACACTTCTCTATCAACAACATTGACACTCACTATCAACATCATTGACACTTCACTATCAAACATCATTGACACTTCTCTATCAACATCATTGACACTCACTATCAACAACATTGACACTTCACTATGAACAACCCATTGACACTTCACTATCAACAACATTGACACTTCACTATGAACCACATTGACACTTCACTATCAACATCATTGACACTTCACTATCAACATCATTGACACTTCTCTATCAACATCATTGACACTTCACTATCAACATCATGACACTTCACTATCAACATCAATTGACACTTCACTATCAACATCATTGACACTTCTCTATCAACATCATTGACACTTCACTATCAACATCATTGACACTTCACTATCAACATCATTGACACTTCACTATCAACATCATTGACACTTCTCTATCAACAACATTAACACTTCACTATCAACATCATTGACACTTCACTATCAACAACATTGACACTTCACTATCAACATCATTGACACTTCACTATCAACATCATTGACACTTCTCTATCAACATCATTGACACTTCACTATCAACATCATTGACACTTCACTATCAACATCATTGACACTTCTCTATCAACATCATTGACACTTCACTATCAACATCATTGACACTTCACTATCAACATCATTGACACTTCTCTATCAACATCATTGACACTTCTCTATCAACAACATTGACACTTCACTATCAACATCATTGACACTTCACTATCAACATCATTGACACTTCACTATCAACAACATTGACACTTCACTATCAACAACATTGACACTTCACTATCAACATCATTGACACTTCACTATCAACAACATTGACACTTCTCTATCAACAACATTGACACTTCACTATGAACATCATTGACACTTCACTATCAACATCATTGACACTTCTCTATCAACATCATTGACACTTCTCTATCAACAACATTGACACTTCACTATCAACATCATTGACACTTCACTATCAACAACATTGACACTTCACTATCAACATCATTGACACTTCACTATCAACAACATTGACACTTCACTATCAACATCATTGACACTTCACTATCAACAACATTGACACTTCACTATCAACATCATTGACACTTCACTATCAACATCATTGACACTTCACTATCAACATCATTGACACTTCACTATGAACATCATTGACACTTCTCTATCAACATCATTGACACTTCTCTATCAACATCATTGACACTTCACTATCAACATCATTGACACTTCTCTATCAACATCATTGACACTTCTCTATCAACATCATTGACACTTCACTATCAACATCATTGACACTTCTCTATCAACATCATTGACACTTCACTATCAACATCATTGACACTTCACTATCAACATCATTGACACTTCTCTATCAACATCATTGACACTTCACTATCAACATCATTGACACTTCTCTATCAACAACATTGACACTTCTCTATCAACATCATTGACACTTCTCTATCAACATCATTGACACTTCTCTATCAACATCATTGACACTTCACTATCAACATCATTGACACTTCACTATCAACAACATTGACACTTCTCTATCAACATCATTGACACTTCACTATCAACATCATTGACACTTCTCTATCAACATCATTGACACTTCACTATCAACATCATTGACACTTCACTATCAACAACATTGACACTTCTCTATCAACATCATTGACACTTCTCTATCAACATCATTGACACTTCACTATCAACATCATTGACACTTCACTATCAACATCATTGACACTTCTCTATCAACATCATTGACACTTCACTATCAACATCATTGACACTTCTCTATCAACATCATTGACACTTCTCTATCAACATCATTGACACTTCTCTATCAACATCATTGACACTTCACTATCAACATCATTGACACTTCACTATCAACAACATTGACACTTCTCTATCAACATCATTGACACTTCACTATCAACATCATTGACACTTCTCTATCAACATCATTGACACTTCTCTATCAACATCATTGACACTTCTCTATCAACATCATTGACACTTCTCTATCAACATCATTGACACTTCACTATCAACATCATTGACACTTCTCTATCAACATCATTGACACTTCTCTATCAACATCATTGACACTTCACTATCAACATCATTGACACTTCACTATCAACATCATTGACACTTCACTATCAACAACATTGACACTTCTCTATCAACATCATTGACACTTCACTATGAACATCATTGACACTTCTCTATCAACATCATTGACACTTCTCTATCAACATCATTGACACTTCACTATCAACATCATTGACACTTCACTATCAACAACATTGACACTTCTCTATCAACATCATTGACACTTCTCTATCAACAACATTGACACTTCTCTATCAACATCATTGACACTTCACTATCAACATCATTGACACTTCACTATCAACAACATTGACACTTCACTATCAACATCATTGACACTTCACTATCAACAACATTGACACTTCACTATCAACATCATTGACACTTCTCTATCAACATCATTGACACTTCTCTATCAACATCATTGACACTTCACTATCAACAACATTGACACTTCACTATCAACAACATTGACACTTCACTATCAACAACATTGACACTTCTCTATCAA